AATCCTGGATGGATTACTTATTGGGGTGCTCTTCTTGAGTTACAGAGAAAACATCTGAAATGCAGTATTGGATGATTGGTCCCAAGTGAACTATACATGAGAAATTCATAGCTGGAGAGAGGCCAAGAAAATCTGTCCATATTCTGTTTTATTTGAAATGAAAAAGGTAGCAAGATGTCATAGTAAATTAAAAGAGGTATTAAAAATCTTGAAGACAGTAATGAGTTCTGGAAACAAGTTTTACTGAAAAGACCAGATGCTAGATGAAATGCTGTGCTCCTTTGATCAGGAGGAAAAGTCCATGGCAATCCAGATATTCAATAGCATTAGGACAGAGGAGGTAAAAAAGGCATTATATAGGTTCATATCCTCACATATGAAATTGTGGAATCAAGCAGAGTCACAAGATTATTTTAAGGCCAGGAGAAAATGGCAACTTCGGATTTGGAAAAAATGGATTTGCTTGATATGGTCATTCCCTTATCAAGAAGTCTGCAAATTGCTGCCCCAGGCAAGTTATAGATGTTTCTAAATTAGAATGGAGGAGTTTGTTTTCATTTTATTTTTTTAAATGGGATTCTTAGAAATTTTCAATACATTTTAGGATTAAAGATGAGATTTCATGCCACGTTGGTAGAATTTTTGCTGGAAAAGAGCCAGGTGAATGTTGTCATTTTTCCTTGGGTTTACAGAGGCTTTACCAGTGAATGTATGGGCTGTCACTGCGCAATTAGTGCTGAGGGTGTACTAAGTCAAGGTCTGTAATAAAGTGTGTGGTGAATTGAACACAGTTCCATTTTCCATTCTGTAAAAGTTCCTCTGAATAAAAATGTTATTTTCTAATTGAAACATCAGCAAACTTGGCATGGGACATGAAAATCAGGCCACATACTTTTCAGACCACATACTCTTCTCATATACTGTGTTACGCTTTTCATAATCTAAGACAGAGGTGCATGTTTTGCATGTCTTCTACAAAAATCTTGATAAAATTGACTCTAGCTAGGATGTAGGCCAGTTCACAATAGCTTTAACTAAGACATCATTTAGCTGCATTACATTTAAGATGGCTGATGCCAGAAGGAAAGATCCCAGATCTGCTTTTACAGTGCAAGTTAGAATACGCATGCATTCAGAATGCAGAGTTGCACCAAATTTATTAATCTATTTTTAGAGTAAAGGTGTTGTTTTATTTATCATCAGATAGGAATTTACTCTGATGACACAATTCAAATATTCCTAGTCCTTCCAAAGGGCTTTTTGGTGCTTGACAGTAATGACAATGTGCAAAAGCACTGCTTCAGCTGCTGTGAACAGCTCTGATCTTACCCACTGGTTCCTGCCACTGCACTGCTCCTTCTCTTATCATGGAACAAAAGTTTTTGCTGCCAAAAAGCTGTTCAACCCAATGATCTGATCCAAGTGAAAGAGTTAATTTTTTCCTCTTTCTCTCCCTTACTCTGTGCCCAGCAAAAAATTAAAATGTGGGGCAGGGGAAGAAAGAAAAGGGTGGGTTTTCCAGGCAGTCTGATGTACAGAACTAGTTCCTTTCATGGACTCAAAAACATCCAGAAGTGACAATCACTGCCGGGTGAGGAACCATGACCTTGTCATTACAGGTATGATTGAGTGTTTTAAAACTAAAAAGATTGATTAAGCTTAAGGTGCAGTTCTGGTTGCATTTCTTTGGGGCTGCCATACACATTGTCTTTTGGAAAAAAATGTGGGTGGTTATTTTCAGTCAGCTCAGTCTACTAGTTCAGTGTGCTTGTGTGCAGTCAATAGGTGGTGTAATCTGGGAACAGTCTGAAGAGGAGAGAGGGAAAGGGAAAATGTGCTGTTTAAATTAGTTTCATCAGGACTGAATATGAAAATGCAGTCTTGCATTGCAATTGTTGTAGTAGAAGGAAGCCGTTCTTTTATTAGTTCAGTCCATTTGGCAATAGCTTGTGATAAACAGAAAACTCTTAATTCAGATGAATGTCAGAAATGACCCATATAATTAGGAACCATGATGTTCTGATCAACAGCTTTTTCACGTCGTTATTCCCATTCACTACTCTTTTTACCTCCCCCTAGGTATTGCCAAAACTAGTTTATATTCTCCATAATTGTAGCCTTACAGTACCTGAAGGGAGCCTACAAGAAAGATGGAGAGAGACTATTTACACTCTACCCTGTCTGATCATTCTGTTGCAAGGACAGGTCCTGAGTTTAGTCTCTCTTTGTTTTAAAAATTATTACATAATTGCCATAAAATTCCTTCTTGTCCATGAATGTTGAATTCATTGCTCTGTTGTCCAGGTGCTGAGTACTGCAAAAAGATCAGCTCCAAGGAACTGTAGCCCTTGTCTGTCAGGACTGTGTGAATTTTAAAAGCTCTAAAGCAGTCTGTGCATGTGATCTCAGCCAGAATATCACTGCTTCATGGCACATGCCATGGCAGGGACTATTCTGCAGTTGTGTCTCAGGAGACACATGGTGATTTTATGAATAATTTTGTTGAATTTTCACTTGTTTAAGCACTGTATGCCCCCCATCCCCCCACCCCTCCCCGCCTCTCCCCAGTTTAGGATAATTTGATTTCTGTGGGTAGGGGAGACCTAGAATTTTGCCTGGGTATATTATCATCTTATCACAATAGCTACTTAAAATGAAGTCCCAGCATCAGCAAAAGAATTTAGGCAAGAAATAACTGTGGGGAGACTAGTAGTTTAAAGAATTCCTACTGTAAAAGCTTCAGTATTTTTAATCTTTAAATCAGAACTTCTGTGTTTTCTTATTAAGCTTTTCCAAACAATAAACATTAAAAAAGCATTTGCAGTACAAATAAATGTCAATGAGTTTGTTCAAGTACAAAATTTAATGCAAAAAAGGGAGGGAGATTTTACATTTTTATAGCAGGTCAAGATAGTCTACAAAAGTCACAAGGTGAGTAGTCATTAAAGAGATGGCATCTTTTAAAAGAGAACTCTGATTCTGAAGTGAATTTCCTTCCCTTCCCTTCCCTCCATCTTTTTCACCTTTCCCCTGGAAAGCTATTTTAGTATCACCAGATTTTGGTGTTACAACCTAACAGATTTGGTGATCATCTTGGAGATATTTTTCAAGAGTAACTTTACAACTTCAGAGCAGGAATTGCACTGAAAATCATTGACATGTGCTGCTAACTCATACAGTCACTTTTGAAAACTGCACTCTGCACTTTTGAAAGTTCTCCCAGTTTGGAGGCTTACCACTTCTTTACTAGTCTCCAAGCATTAACTTAGATTTCTGCATGGAGAATCTGTCCCTGAATTCTATGAAAAAATGTGATTCCCTGATGAACAGATCCATTAGTTGCTATACTGTGGGAGTGAGAAGAGATTGTAGCAGAAAATGGGTGTATGCTGGCACAGAGATTTTTTGTTGGCAGTACTGGGAGTCAGGGAAATCTTAATATGGGGACTTATGGATATAGTTTCAGCTTGATTATAATGAGCGGATAGACTTGCTGTTATTTCAGTGGAGCAAGATTCAATTAGCTAGTTTTTTTTCGAAATTTCCGGAGAGGGAGAAGATAAAGGGATATACTTGTCAGGCACAGAAAAAATAGGGATTATTTTTAACCAAGTCTAGATAAAATTTGAAACCCACTTTTTTTGTCCAACCTTTCAAAGACATTGCAATTTGAAAAAAACAATGAATTCTTTTCTTCATTAGGCTTTGGTTTCCTTCTCTGATGTGAGGTTTAATAGTCCACAGATACCAGAATTTGCAATTTGAACAGTGAATACTGTGTGAAAGACAAGTAAGGGACACTGGCTTAACCCTTAGATCTGCATCGTGTGTGCTTTACATCCATAGCTTTTATCAAGTTGAGGGTCAGGTGTAAACGACCCACACAATTCTTGGAAGAAGCCAGTCCCAAAATGTCTCATGATGGAAAGACTCTACCTGATTTGGTGCTACCAAATTGCTCAGATAATGAGAAGTGCTAAGGCTTGAATCTCCTCAAAAGTTTTCCCTCCTCAGAAGGCTAGAGTTGGGATAGTCATTTAGCATGAGTTTGATTTGTTTACAGCGTGCTTAATTGCAAAGTCTAGTGTTGTCAATGGGCTGGGGACCCTACTTCCTGCAGAATGTGGGAATGCTCTGAGTGTGAATAAAATGTTGCTGAAGCCTGACTAGATGGCCTAGAAAGGCCTTCATCAGAGTAGGAAGCTGTCATAAACAATGTAATTTAATAGTTTGTTTGTGATGAAAATTCTGAGTTTGGTGTATGGCTTGTGAAACTTGCTTCTAAGGACTCCACTCACTAAGTTACCTACTGATCATGCATAGCTGAGAGGAGAGCCTGCTGCACATGACAGGGCAATAGCAGAGAAAGGTTGCTTTCATATGTCAAAAGTGGGAAAACGGTTTAGGACAGGGTAGGTGTTCAACCTGTAAAATCAGATAGTTTTATGTTGATAGGGTGTGAAGGTAAAACCATCACCTTGGGAAAAAATATGTAACCAAATCTGTGATTTGTCAGGAAAGCCAGCTGTGAAGTAGAATGGTAGGAAAAAGAGAAACTTTATAGAAACACTAAAACCAGGGCAGTTCAGAACCCAATTAGCCTCACTTTTTTCTGCATGATTTCATTCTTAACTTCATCTGAATTTGATTGTATCCGGGCTATTCTTACGGTGTGTTCAACCTGTGTCACAAAGAAATTGGTTTTATGTTATTTATAGTCCAGTTTTGTACAGAGTTAGAGGATTCTGAAAATGTCTAAGTGCTTATTTGGTTTTCCAAACTAAGCTACCAAGCTTCTGTGGTTTCGTTTTTTCTTTTTCTTTTTTTTTTTTTTTCCCTTTTTTGACAGTATTATGATAGCATTAAGGAATGTAATCTTATTGTGAGATACAGGCATTACTTCTGTATTATATGTACTGACTAGTCAATTCAGTATATGCTTTAAACCAATTATTAAATGGTGATACTTTTGTTCTAAATATATTGTTCTGATTTCACAGGTGCCTGCATAAATATCACCAACAGCCAGTGCCAGATGCTGCCATATAACTACACCACTGTAACTTCAATTCTTTCCATTGTCAAAAGTATTGAAATGGAAAAGTTCCTGAAGTTCTTCAGTTATCTCAGTCGACTCAGCTGCTATCAACACATTATGCTGTTTGGCTGTAGTCTTGCTCTTCCTGAATGCATCAGTGACGGTGATGACAGGTATTTGGGAATGAAAATCTGTCAGTGACTAGAGCCAATTGTGGTAAAATACTCTCTGTCTAATCAGACAAGGGAGCCTATGACCTTCTCATTGCACAGTTCCTGTCTGTCAAAGCTATTGGCAACGTTTCTGCCATGATAAGCCAACTGCAATTGAGTTCCTCTGGAAAAAAAATTGCCACTGTGATATTAGGGCAGTCAGGATTATTTTCCTAGAGAAGGCTCTCCAGATTTCTTGTACCTAATTTCTGCAATCTGAGTGTGCTGAAATGGAATGCTTTTTAACAACATTAACGCCTTGGAAATGTCTAGTATTGGCATAAAGTGTTAAGCTTCAAATTTGTTTGTTGTTTTCCTTCAAAGAGATTAATGTTTTAAATATATCTCATGGTATTAGATTAGCAGGATGTGTTCAGAGGGACATAAACTATTCTGGAAGCTTAAGGAGCATATATTTTTTCCGCATTTACATAATTTTACAGCATTAGTATCATGTGCATGCACTTTTTTTATTGAGTTTGATTTGAAAAAAAAGGATCAGTGAGTTTAACAGTGCTAAAATCAAAACATGGCACCAAAAGGGGAAAATGAACTATTTTTTTTTAATATATGTACACAATCTTTGATATTTCTGGAGAGGGAAAGAGAGAGGGTAGATTTCTTCCTCCTTATTTTCATTTTTCCTGATTTCCAGTTTCTCCACTGGAAAATTCAGTGGAAGAGTGTATGACAATTGAATAAGTGATTCAAATAACATAACAAGAACCAGAAAGTCTAAAGCTGTGCTTTAGAAGGACTAGGATGCTTATGAAAAAGGTTCTGTGAGAACTGGTCTAAAATATAGTTGCCAATGAAAGGTACAGCCTCACTCCAGGCAATATATGCTTGCCATTTCCATTGCATCAGAGTGATTCCTGGACTGGCAATTAAGCTCACTAAACTGACAGAAAATTAACCCAGAGTAAAGGTGTACAGATGATTATATGAATAGCATTAGGGTGGAGTAAAAGCAGCACAGGTAACAGTGGAACAAGACTGACCATTGGACTGGCAGAATGGTTTAATCCAAATTCTCCTGTGTACGTATCTTTGTTAGCCTACCAAAAGCTATTTTCAATTAATCCTGTTTAATTGAGTGCATTATTAATTATAGCCCCTCCACTCCAATTTATTATTACAATTTTTCCAGTTAAGGAATCTGATAACATACAGCCTTAAACTACCTGTTGTCCCTAGAAATCATTGAACAAATTAAGAAAAATGATCTCAGGTAAAAAATTGATGCATTTAAGCATTCAGCAACAGAACAGGCTGTTTCTCTGTTGCTTCACTTATTCTGCCTTGTTTGGAACTTGACTTTCACAAACCTTTTGAGAGTGAGTGGTACGTGTCTAAAGTGCAAAGCTCATAAATCAATCAAATAAGTAGGGTGGTGAAAGGATAAGTCTTGTACCTTTTCTTTTCCATTTCTTTCCTGAAGATATGTTTCTTGCATGGTTTTACATTATGCCTTGCTAATTTAAAGAGCATAGAAGTTAAACTAATGTTTGAAACATGCAAACTTTTGCTCTGGTTTTTGGCAGCAATCAAAATATATTGAGATTCTAGAGTCAGGGTTTTTCTTTTGTGTGTTTGTTTGTTTTTTTTTCCCAACTGCAACCTTCTCCTATTAATTTTTAATGTCAAAACTGGAACTGGATTTCCATGCCCTGTTTTATGTCCTGGACGTCACAATGCTCCCTCTATTTTTACTTTAAAATCCTTTTTGTGGAAACTGTTCTGGCCCCTGCAAACTTAATGGGGAAGAATGTCCAATGTGAGACTGTCAATGATGCAGGATTGTGTTAGAATCTGATTTCACTTTTAGTAACCATATGTCTCTAGAGCGTTCCATGGGTGTCACTTGAAAATGCAGTCTATGCAGTTGAAGTGGCAACCACAGGAAGAACCATAAGAGTGGATTGACAGTGCGCTGGTCAGTTAAATGTAGTCTGCCAAACCGAAGTTGTCCTAGTTTAACTTCTGGTTTCCTCTTTAAAGAAGGATATCTTTTATTCTGTAGGGAACCAAGTGATTTTTGCGATTACTGTCTTTCTTGTAGCATCCAATTATTGCAGGCTAACAGATGTATTTCAAAGCCAAGAATAATGGTTTTAAGAAGCATCATATCTGCATAAAATAGTTATTTAATACCTTCCATTCTCACCCTAGCCCCTTCTCCTTCTCTCACTGCTTCCCATAACTCTTAAAGTTCTTGGCATAATAGGGGCAAGTTACTTTGTGTGTCTTGGGTGCAGATAGAAAAACTGAAAGACACAGCCCTGTTTTAGGTTTGTTGAATAGTGGAAACGCACTGAAGGAGAAGCAGAAGAGTCACTGTGGAAAGCATCTGATAATAATAAATGGGGATGTGTCAGTAAGCTGTAGAGCTTTCTTGGGATTATGGTTGCTTTTTATTATACAGCATCATAAAACATACACTAGTATGGTGCACAGTTGTTATTGCATTGTCACCAATTCCTCCAGACAATTACAGCTGTTTCATTGTAATGTCAGTGCATATATGATCATAATTTTTTATGTATTGATAACTTTTTGTTTTATGGAGCAATTGTTTCTAATGTATGTAAAGCATAATTTGACAAAAGCTGCTTACACAGTACAGAAGAAATGAAACTCTTGTGATGCTTAGACGTCTATTCTTAGGTATTGTTGAGAGAGTCTGTGCTGGAAGCTTGCAGCCATGGAAGCAATAATGCATTACAAGAAGCATCAAGAAGAAAAGTTACAAGCCCTAATATTTCGCATCCAGTGAGCTGTCATTACATATAGCTTTTCTCTGATGTTTAAACTTATTTATGTCTGTTTCCCATTTATCTTTCATGTGTTTATAAACATTGTATTCATTAACACTCGAAGGAGACTAAGTTTCTAGGCAGAGGACTTATTCACTGTTTGTGTAACACAGTGGAATTTCTTAATAATGCCAATATACTGCTGCTCTTTGAAAAAGTTCTGTATCTTACTGCAGTAAAAATCATACATGTCAGTAAAATATATTAATTTTTAATTTAATTTCAGCAACTGGATCTACAAGCAGCTAGCTCTGCTCTTTTACAAAAATATATAACAGTATTTTTCTACTACTTTCCAGTAAACATAAGGTTTGAAAGTGCAACTAAAACCTGTGTGAAAATGGAACATGGAAAGTTGAAGTGTAGTAAGGCTTTTTGCTTGCTTATTACTTGTCCATAATTTGTATACTAAGTAAGAGCACCATGCAGCTTCCACCTTCTTGGGTGAATGGATGAAATCTTTCCAATATGACTTCAAAATCAGCTTTAAAAAACCTGTCTTGACACAGTCCAGCAGCACTGCTAAGAGAACATGACAGTCCTGAAAAGTAACACTAGTGGTGCAAGAACACCTTAAACTAGTTGGAGTGCTGAACTAATGACTTCTAAAACATTCCCAGTAGTAAGTTTGTCCTTTTGGGTAATAGTAGCTTGCAACCTTTTACCATCAAATGCAACACTGGTACTTTACTTGTTATAAGAAAGATCTGTCCTCAGAGCAGTGATGTAATCTGGTGAATTCTCCCTTACTGCTGGAAGACACTGAGCGTGGGCCAAAGGCCAATTACTGCAATGTAATGAATGTTTATTTATAGTAATTCACTCGTGTTGGATTCTACAATTCAAGAACACAAAAAAAATCTGAAAAATGTTGGTATGAAATTTTTTCATACTTTCAAAAGAAAAACAGATGTTTTTTAAAGCCAAAATTGGTGTAAAATTTAAAGATTCAGAATCAATAGAGAAGTTCATAGTGGGTCAGCCTATAACTGCATAATACAAATAGACTTACTGAATGATGCTTTCTATTATTTCTTGCCCTCTGTGAATAATCATGTTTCATCAAAAGGCTTGGTAAAATAGTAAAGATATGTAAGATCCTGAAGGCCTACGTACATGGTTTATTTTGACTTTTTATGCAGGGAATGAATTTGAAAGTTATGGATTCTCATAATACCTCTTTGCTGTCATGCTGCCTCCTAAAACAGAAATAATACCTTGAGTACTTCTGTTAATCCTCTGTGTAGAAGTGTATTCCAGAAAGGTGAGGAAATGCTTATTATTGATAGATCCCCAGAGTCTCAAATATTTGGAGATCAAACTGGATTTAAGCTCTGCCTAGAAAATGCTACTAGCGCAACACAAATTAGAAGGTGTAATATGCTCCCAAAGTGAAATTCTAAAACACCTTGCATTTATGTATCTGTTTACTCACTATGGTCTTTTTCATGTCAAATATCTTTGAAATACAGTTGTGAAGTGGCTTGTCTTCAGTTTGGGCTCAAAGAGTCCATCCGAGATTATGGCTTTTTATGTTGGATGCTGTACAAACATGCACTGAGGGGCAACATCCTGCCTCTGGAAGTTTATAGCCCAGATGAGGAAAACCAGTAAAGGACTGTCACATTAATAGCTAGAGAAGTTAATTAGCTAGAAGTTATGCTGTAGTATCTATGCTACAAAAATCAGCAGCCAGGTAACGATTTGTAGAAAGTAGAAGAGATCAGAATAAGGCTACATGGTATGTTTGGGGTGGGGAAAATTAACTATTGAAAATTAGGTTAATACTAAATCGGTTCTAAGAAGCTGTGAATATGTGACTGTGTATGCAGTCAAATGTTTTTTGAAGAGCTGCTCTGCTACGATTCATAGTAGCAAATTCAATTCTGTAGGGTTTTTTTCTGTTTCATTGTCTTGGTTTTTTTCCTGTAATTTATAAAAAGGAAAAAAATAAAAAGTCTCATTTTCATTGTGGACATAAACTAATGAAATACTAGGTCCGAAAAACAAATCCAGAAATATGTGTGTTGTCTTTTATTAAAAACCAGAGACAGCTTGAAACAAATTTAGGGTGAAGTACAAGGTAGGAGAGGAAGACAATTTTGTTCATTTCCTCTTAGAAAAAGGAAAAGAATTGAAGTTCAT